ATGTATGTATAGATGTATGTATGTATAGATGTATGTATGTATAGATGTATGTATAGATGTATGTATGTTTGTATGTATGTATAGATGTATGTATAGATGTATAGATGTATGTATGTATGTATGTATGTATAGATGTATGTATGTATAGATGTATGTATGTATGTATAGATGTATGTATAGATGGATGTATAGACGTATGTATAGATGTATAGATGTATGTATAAATGTATAGATGTATGTATGTATGTATGTATGTATGTATGTATGTATGTATGTATGTATGTATGTATGTATGGATGGATAGATGATGGATGGATGGATGTTTAAATGGATAGATAAATACACACACACACACACACACATGTATGTGTGTGTGTGCGTGCGTTCATATATGTGTATACTGTCTATTTTGTAGTTATATTATCCCACCCCCCACCCCCGGTGGAAACTCCATGAGCTGCCACTGCTCTCAGTAGTTGTGCCTAAACTTTTAGTGCCTTGGCTCCATACAGTCACTAGATTTTATTTTTGACGGCTCATTTTATTTTGAAAAATAGATTACCGGTAACGTAGCTGTGAAATAAAGCTGGTGTTTTTTTCCACAATTAAGATTTCAGGGTGAGGTTGTGTCACCTCATCAAGGATGTGAATAAAGTCATTCATGTCTTGCAAAACATTTGTTGTCAACTGATGTACGGAGTGGTGGCACAGAGGTTAGAGAAGATGAGCCTGTGATCGCAAGGTCACCGGTTTGACTCCCAGGACCAACAACATCAGAATGTGGGAGGAAAAGATGAAGCACCCACACATGACCCCACCCTCATTTGTCCCAGTCTGGGCCCTTGAGCAAGGCCCTTAACCCCCGCCCACCATCTGCTCCCAAACAGGTCTCTCTTGAACACGAGTCCTCATGACTTAATGAGACTACCTGTATAAATAAAGCTTAAAGAAAAACAAACATTTCATTTCTCTTCTCAGATGGTCTCTTGTCCTGAGCTGGTTCTGCTGGAGGTTTCTTCCTGTTAAAGGGAGTTTTTCTTTCCACTGTCTCCACTGTGCTTGCTCAGGATGGGAGACTGCAACGAAGCCAAGATTCAACTTGTCTGCTGGATTCCTTAGATAGAGAACTTTACTAACTGGCTTTTATGTGAATGTTCCTGTAAAGTCCCTGAGACAACTTTGTTGTGATTTGGTGCTATAGAAATAAACTGAATTGAATTGAATTAGTAATCTTTTCTATTCTGTCCACTTAAAGCCTCATTTTAATTTAATTTAAATTAGCAGCAACTTTTCTAGATTAATATAGTTAAATGAGAAGAACAACTTGGTTTAAATACAAATTTAAAAAATAATAATACATTTAACATCAGCACATAGGAGCTCTGTTTTCTCATTATAGTTACAGTTTTAAACTTCAACACACCCACTAAAACCAACTTCCAAACGTCTGGCTTAGTTTCATAAAGAAAGGCTGCAACGCTTTATGGTCACACAAAAACTAAATTTATATAGTGGGCAACGTCTGACAGTTCAACTGGCTCTGCAGCGCCACCTGCTGCTGAACTGACCCGTCTATGATGAGGTTTTCATACGCAGCCTTCTTGTCGCACACAGGACAGATCCAGGTGGGCTTCTTCTCATTCATCTGCAGGTAGAGTGCAGCGTCGAAACACTGCAGGTGAGAACATGTGACAGCTCTGCACGGCACGGTGAGGCGCATCTTGCCCAGCTTCAAGACAAACAGAGGTGACATCATCACACTGAATTCAGAGTTTACAGAAACCTGCACTGAAACACACAACTGGATGAGCCACACATGGGACTGCGGTTCTGATGTAACTGTTGCGTTCACATAAAAAAGGCCTTTTCATGTTTCAGTAACTGATTTTTTTGTTAACCACCCCCTCCCCCATGTTAAAGGTGTGACATTGCTTGAAGGAACACATCACCTGCATGCCAGAGTTTAAACTAAGACCATCTTTTGATGAGAAATGACAGTTGTAACTGGTTTCTTATCAAATAATTGAAAAAACATTATGAATTATCACCCGTCCAGGGTGTACCCCGCCCCTCGCACAGCGATGGCTGGACATGGGCACCGGCGACCCCCGTGACCCAAAATGGAAGAAGCGGGTAAAGATAATGGATGGAAGAATTATCATAGGCCAAGCTGCTAAATCTCCTGTGAGAAAATCCTTGTGCTCAAAGTGAGCATTGTGAAAGGCACTCAGCTACTACCACACCAATGTTTAATCAGACAGTCAGAGTTTCTTTATCGTCATTCGCACCTCATGTGGTACATGTGGTGGAGCGAAATTGTGTTCACAGGGTCCCAGTTACATCCAACAATAAAATGTAACAGAAAAACAGTAATAACATCTAAGACATGAAGTAAGAAAAACATCAACTAAATATACACTAAGCACTCATAACATAAAACATTGAACATCAGCACAAACATGAACATGAGTCTGTGAGCAGATGTGCACGCATGAACACACCAACACTGAAACCGATCAGCAGCAACATGAAACAGATCAGCAGCAACATTGAAACAGATCAGCAGCAACATTGAAACAGATCAGCATCAACATGAAACAGATCAGCAGCAACATTGAAACAGATCAGCAGTAACATGAAACAGATCAGCAGTAACATGAAACAGATCAGCAGCAACATTGAAACAAATCAGCAGCAACATGATGTGATTTTTTCACAGTGATTATTCTGGTTAGAGATTCGTGAGTCTAACAGCCTCGGGGTAGAAGCTGTTCCTCAGTCTAGTGGTTCTACACTTAATGCTCCTCAACCTCCTTCCTGAGGGGAGTGGGGCAAAAAGTGTGTGTGCTGGGTGAGTGTGGTCCTTCATGATGCAGGTGGCCCTCTTCCTAGTGCTTAGTGTATATTTAGTTGATGTTTTTCTTGGTTCATATCTTAGATGTTATTACTGTTTTTCTTTTACATTTTATTGTTGGATGTAACTGGGACCCTGTGGACATAATTTTGTTCCACCACATCACACATGTCAAACTCAAGGCCCGGGGGCCAAATGTGGCCCTCGCTGACATCTTATCTGGCCCCCATGATCCGTGGTTCCCAACCTATTTTCCTCAAAGACCCCCCTTCTTACTTCCTAGCCAATCTGAGCCCCCCAATCCCTCGCTACTCCCCTCTCCCAAGAGACTCATTCAGATTAATTTCTTTATCAAAGTGATAAAAGAATAAAGTAAACATTATAATTAATATTATAAGTAATTGTAGTTAAGTATAGAATAAAGTACATAATAAAATAATAAAGTAAATAGTTAAAAACTTTAATTTGTAAATGGTGTAAACTGGTAGTTGTACAACAGAAATAACAACTACAAGAACACACTCACATAACTTTTCTTTAAACTCTAACAACAGAGTAATGTTTAAAAACAGTCTTAAAAATTGTAGTTTTGTCAAGATATCTTCCTGATCCTATCATGCAGATGATTTTTTGCAATTTTCAGCCATTTTATCTGTTCTGTCCTTGACAGTGACGGTGTTGGAGAGCGGGACAGTTTTCATTGTATCCACTGCATGAGCCCTGTCACACATCAACTCTACAATTTTCAGGCAGGTGGTTTCAGACGGTTTCTCCAATATTGTGCAGATTTTTAGTGTAAGTGATTAAAAGGGAACAGTGAAAAGATGCTTCTGTGCTCTGTGCACATCACTACCTGCTCTGTCAAAGGCTTCTCTGATGTCAGGGGACCTTGTTGTCCACTGCTTGTTCCTGAAAGTATTCCTGACTTTCACCAATAATAACCATGTCTGCTCTAAACTAGGGAACAATCTTACGTTGTCAGAAAGATGACTCCTCGGTGTGTTTTTACACATTTAAACATTCATGTGCTTAAGTTTATGAGATATATGTAATAAAACGCAGACAGAGTCTGTCCCTGCGTCTGTTTTCTTTATATTTGTTTCTTGTACTTTTCATTCTGCTCCTTGTCTTTCTGTTCCGTCACTCTCCACTCACTCCTCAGCCAGCCTCTAACCACTCACCTGTCTCCAAGCAGCAACCATCGCAGGTGCTCTCATTACTCACCTACCTCTGCCTTATTTAAACCTCTCCTCTCAAAGCGGACGCTCACTGTTCCGTCTTGCGCAGACGTCTCAGTCCTCCTCTGTTCCTGTCTCATGATCTGTCTCAGCCTGTTGCCCCGTTCCTCTCGTCTCATGTTTAGTTTTGCTCAGTTTATACTCGCCCTGTGATTAAGTTTTTGCTGCCTCGTCAGCGTTTTCTTTTGTTGTTTGAATAAATTATTTTTATTTAAACTCCTGCTTGGCTCGCCTGCCTACAAATGGGTCTAAAACACGAGGACTGTGACAAACGTGAGCTTAACCACGAGCAACAATAACCTCCCATATGTTCTCAGGCAGCCGCGCTGCCAACTGAGAGCCACACGCAGAGTACCGACGTCATGCTCTTAAAGTGACAGTACAGATTTTAGTGTTCAACATAATGCGTTAGAAAACTCTTCAAACATAACCAAAATAGGGCTCTTCATTGTTCATCAGGATTTGGTGACATTTCAAACATTATAATTAAAAGTAAAAGCATATTTTATAAAGTTGTTACAACAATAAATTGATATTTTCACAAGCTGTAACCTCTGAGCACACATTATGTGACCCCCCCCCCCCCCCCCCCCCACCCCCCCCCCTGGGGGTTGGGCCCCCAGGTTAGGAACCACTGCCCAAGATGTTATTTTAAATGTAAAATACTTTTTTCACTTGAATTTTTTCAGTAATCTTTGATTATGGTGTCAAAAGTGCAACAGAGAACATGAAATGAGACCAATCAAACTGTTGTTGAGGAACCTGCAGCCAAGAACAGATGTTGGTATCTGACTTGAGTCCATGTAGATTCTGAAACTGGCCCTTAGTTTGAAAACAGTTTTAATGTTGAAGCACTTTGGTAAGAGTAAGTGACACCCCTGCACCACATGTGGTGCGTGTGACAAATAAAGAGCCTTGAAAATCCATCCAGTGGTTCATGAGCTTTTGTGCTAAAAGACAAACCAAAGTACACACACATGGGCAGGTACCTTGGGCAACAATTATTGTGCACCAGTAATACAGCCTAAAAGACTTCTGCAAGTCTTGCAAACATTAAAACATGGCTGCACAGTTTATTGGCCACACTCAGAATTGACCCATTTTCCTCCCAATATTTAGTCATCAACTAGTCTCACCAGTTGCAAAGATACTGGTTTTAAATATTCATGTTGTTTAAACAATCAGTAATGACCTTTTCAAAAAAATATGAATAATTCGTGTTGAGACATGTTTATTTACCGGACACAGGAGTGATACTCTGAGACTTGTTGTAGCAACCTCACTGTCTGGATCTGCTGTCAGCTTCTCTTTAACTGCAACAAAAATATTTCATATCACACAAATCTACACTTCATTCAGCGTTTTATTGAGGAACAAAAAACAGGTTAATATTACTTAGCGCTCTGGAGTGGTCTGGGTTTCTGATGCCCTTCATCCTGAGCCTCTGCAGGAGCAGAGGTGAAGTCAGCTGCCTCACCAGGTACACAGACAGAGAGTAGATCTGAAAAATAAACAGAAAAACAGTTTGGTCTGTTTGAAGCGGCGCTCTGTAGGATGATTAGACCTGCAGCAGAGAGCACAGGAATCTGGACCAACCCGTGAGCAGCTGCTCACAGCAGCACCACCACAGAACTCAACAGAAACTCAACAGTGTTGCAGGAGTTCGTTTACATAACTCTACTGTGATGATTTGTTTACTTGTCCTGCCACTAAGAGAAAAGGAAAAACAGGAAATGCCCTCCATTCCTCAATCCATGCATGTTGTGAGAATGACAGATTGAAAAATAAATGACGTGCTAACTTCCATTTTGGTGTGTAGCTGCATCTATATCTATCACCATATAAAAACATATATATCGTATTTTCTGCCGTACAAGGTGCACCGTCCTCTAAATCGCATCAGTCCAAATATGTCTAATAAAGCGGAAAAATACATAAATACATCGCTTCGCCGTATACATCCCATCTATTATGAGTCACAACTGACGAGTCGCGTGTTACGCGTCACCGCTGACAACCCAGAAATGTGGGCCGGTGGTGTGCCAAAACTTGATGGGCTGCCGAATGGCGGCCGCAGGAGTGTGCACGGGAGGACTTTAACAAGAATTGAACAAGAGTAACACTTAAAAACCATTATTTGTTTGCTCGAAATTACAGCAAAGGTCTCAGTTGAACTTTTCCTTAATAAATGCACTTTGACAGTCAAATTAGTTGCATTTTAAAATCCGATACGCAGAATAAGAAGTAGGAGTCGCCGCCACTGTGCATTTCTTCAAAATTTAACAAGAACCTAAAACAATTATTTGTTTGCTTGACATTATAGTAAAGGTGTGTCTCAGTTGGACTTTTACTTAATAAATGCACTTCAATGGTCTAATTAGCTGCATTTCACCGGGGCGGTGCAGCTAAATTAAGCTGATTTGACAGTTGCTCGAGGCGAGCTGGACAAAGGTGGCAGGCTATAGCAAGCTGATTGTGTCATTAAAAGCCACTTTTACCTACTACATGACACAACAGCATGCCATACTACTCGAGTGCCATCTAGCGGGTGAAAATGGTAGTGTTCAATATTTTCAGTCAGAATGAATGAAAACGGTCGTATCTCAGCCAAAAAAATGTTTTTTAAATATGGGAAAAAATCCATACATACCTCACTTCGGCGTATAAGTCGCAGGGTATGCAGATTATGCAAAAAACTGTGATTTATAGGCTGAAAAACACGGTATCAGTGTTTCACCTACCATTAGCCAAGGAGGGTGCCCCACTTATCAAATCCCTGCTCCACCACTTTCAGGCGGGAAGTGGAGTTTAGCAGCTCGCATGCATGTAGTGGTGGCACAGAGGTTAGAGAACGTGGGCCTGTGATCGAAAGTTCGCCGGTTCAATTCCCTGGACCGACGACACCAAAATGTGGGCGGGAAAGGTGAAAGACCCACACCTGTCTCCAACCTTATATATGCCAATCTGGACCCTTGAGCAAGGTCCTTAACCCCCACCATCTGCTCCTCCAGGTGTCCTAGCTAGCAGCTCTCTGCTCCACACAGAGGGCTGTGGTTGTATCAGGAAGGACATCCGCCATAAAAACAATCGCCAAGTCTTCATGTAAGTTAGTTTGCTGTGGTGACCCTGAAGAAGGGAGCAGCCAAAAGGTGTGTGTGTTGGGGGGAGGGGTGTAAAACGATCATCCTTATCGTTTGAGGAAACCATGCTGTCTAGTTTTTATATTGCTTGAAAGTGTAGCTTTCTAAAATGATTGGGGTGACTCGAGATTAATCTATGGTGGCCAAGGCCACCATTGGTCACCCTCTGGGGCAGCTGTGGCTGAGTGGATAAAGCAGCTGTCCTCCAACAGTTGGGGGTTTGATTCCACCAACAGTCACATGTTGAAGTGTCCCTGGGCAAGACACTGAACGCCTCAATGCCTCTGATGTGTGTCTCATCGGTGTATGAATGTGATCTAAAGCTCTTAGTCCTTGTACAGATCTAGTAGAGAGCTGTATGAATGAGGGCTCAGACTGTGTTGTAAAGAGCTTTGAGTATCTTGATTAGATAGAAAGGCACTAGATAAGTACAGTCCATTTACCTCTGGCTCCACCACTGTGCCTGGTTGTGGCTGCTCCCTCCACACGCCAGGATATGACAGATATGGCCATTTATTTCAGTCTAACTGGCCCATCAGGTGTTTACTCCTGTCTAACCAACACACACAGCCTATATTTCTGACTACTATTGTTGCCTACATCACACAATGACACTTAATCAGTCCATCAATCAAATATAAACTTGACTAAGTCTGCAAACCATATGCAGGAGTCAGATATTAAAACCAAAACAGGTCCGTCATTTTATAATTATCAGATCTTTAACTGCACTGACCTTACCAACCTCAGGTGCCCATGTGACTGAGATCTGATTGGGTACAGCAGACGAGAGTCTGACGAGGGATGTGATGTTCAGAGGTCTTCCTGGTCTCTTCTGTTCAACTCCATTTTTTGGTGGTGGTGCAAAACCCTGTAGACAGAAGATGATAAGGGATTTTATAGGCTCCTTCAGATATTTTAGATTTAGTTTTCTGTTCAAACATAAAAGAAAGCCCTTACGGGTAATGGAAACTGTTTCCCATTGACTTTTATACACAAACTGTTGGGGTAATTGTCTTCCTGAAGACAACTTGTTTCTGACAAACCGAATCTGAAACACAAGAACATTTTTAACAAATAAAAATACAGCAAATCTGTCAAAGGAATCGATGCATCAAGTTTTCATTATTTTAGTTTCATCAAATCATTTATGCCCATTGTCCATATAAAGATCACGCCAGGATTCACAAATATCACTATGACCCTGCACAGTAGGTACAACTGGCAGAATGAGGAAGTGGCTCATATTAACAAATCCCATCAGTGGCTGAACTGAAGGACAGCACACAGGCACTAATCATGACAACACAAGAGCAACAGAGGCCAGGGTCTACCCTACCAGACAGGATCCAAGATGCAGGCTGTGCAAAGATGCCCTGAGACAGTACAACACATTAATTCAACCTTTATTTATACAGATTAACCTCAGTGAGTCACAAGGACTCATTTTCAAGAGAGACCTGTTTAATAATAGCAGGATGTAAGATCCAGGCAGGCAAAGCATTCATGGAACACCATAGCCAAGTGGCTGGAATAATATACAGGAACATCTGTGCCAAGCATGGACTGAAGGACCCACAGTCAAAGTAGGAGACTCCACCAAGGGTGGTGGAGAATGGAAGCGATAAGATACTGTGGGATGTCCAGATCCAGACCAACAAACAGGTGGTAACTAACCACCAGACAATGTGGTGGTCGACAAGCTGAAGAAGAAGGCAGTGGTGATAGATGTAACAATCCCAAATGACTGTAACATCAGGAAGAAGGAGCACTAAGAAATACCAAGGGCTGAAAGAGAAAATACAGAAGTTGGGGGGAGTCAAAGCATCAGTAGTCCCAGTTGTCACTGGAACACTTGGTGCTGTGACCCCCAAACTGGAAGAGTGGCTCCAACAGTTCACAGGAACCACCTTACCCGAGATCTCTGTCCAGAAGAGTGCAGTCCTATGAACAAATAATACACTGAACAGAGCCTCAAACTCCCTGGCCTCTGGTAGAGGATCCAACCTTGTAGTGAAGTGGAAGTAGCGGCATCAAGACAATCCCTGATGCTCTCACTCACAACTAGTGACAATTTAGTGTAGAGTCGAACGTACAACCTCACTGTGAACCGCTAACGTTTGCCCATCGTGGTGCCTTTAATATTAAATTATCTTCAGATATTTTTAATAATTAGTATTTCTAAATGCTGCAAATTCTCACCTCAGTTGAATTTGAACCATGTAGTCCCTTCTGCCACCTGGTAGGTAGTCTCTGTGAACACAAGCGGTACAACAAAAATCACAAAACCACAAATCACATGACTAACAAATTTTAATCAATCATGTGACTGTTTTTCACATGATTCATTAGTCTTTTAGACTTTAAAGTGTGTGTGGCTCTAAATGTTTAATAGATCAGTTTCCCCTACCATTAAACAAGAAGGGTGCCCCGCCAGGTCAACAGAACCGAGCACCCTGTCTACTAGAGGATGACATTTTTTCGGGAGTACAGCGGGTCACGTGATTGCGGCGGGATTCTGGCGGGACCGGAGTCAACCTCATTATAACTCACGTGACCGGGACGTGACCAAACTGAAAGCTAATGGGAGCAGACAGGAGCGGGAACCAACCAATAACCAAAAATGAAAATGAAACCATCCATCCATCCATCCATTATCTTTACCCGTTTATTCCATTTTGGGTCACGGGGGTCGCTGGTGCCCATGTCCAGCAATCACTGTGCGAGGGGCGGGGTACACCCTGGACGGGTCGCAAGTCCATCACAGGGCCACATAGAGACAAACGAGACAAAAAACCATTCACTCTCTCACTCACACCTAGGGACAATTTAGAGTTACCAATCAACCTAACATGCATGTTTTTGGTCTGTGGGAGGAAACCGGAGTACCCGGAGAAAACCCACGCATGCACAGAGAGAACATGCAAACTCCACCCAGAAGGCCCCTGGACCAGGGTTTGAACCAGGGACCTGTTCGCTGAGAGGCAGCAGCTCTACCAGTTGCGCCACCGTGCTGCCCATGAAAATGAAACAAACAAACAAAAACAAAAAAAACGGTGCAGCTATTTTGTAGTTTTCTTTCAGTAAGCCTTCACTTTAACACAAGTCAAAAGAACTACATTGCCCAGAAGTCAACTGTTCCATCTGTAGCTTTTCACCGAGAAGGTGGGAGGAGCAGCGAATTCTCCAGCAAAGAAACCGAATGGCTGAAATAGTTTGCAACGCAAGGTAAGAAGTAACTGTCTGTCTATTAAACTCACAGAACAGGCAGGAAAGTGTTAAATAACCCTGAACTTCATGAGAATTGTGTTGGTGCTGTGCTGCTTTAAACTTTAGTCTCAGCTGTGAGGAGCTGCTTTGTTTACCATCAGTAAATAAACTCAAACAGCGCATTTTTCTCCACCTTGTCCCTTTTAGTTTAAAAATGATGCTCTGCTTTGTTATGTGGGTTTTTAGGTTAAAATCTTCATTATCTGTCGCTGTTTGAAATGTGGAAAAAAAAAGCCGAACACTTTCTGGTTAAAGTGCACGCATTCTCCGGTAAAAATATCCTTATTTTTATATTGTGACGTCCTGCTGGATACTGAAATCGAGGAAAACATGAATAACCATCACTTTATTGTGTAAATAGTTACTGTCAGCTGTAACCATGCCAGTACAACATCAAACTCGTTAGTGAAAGCATTCTCCGGTAAAAATATCCCAGTTTTTATATGAAAGACTGGTTGCATATACATTATAACTGTTTTAGTTTTAGATTTAAGATATGATGTGTACAATTATGTTGTTGTGTTAAATTTTAGAGTTGATTTTTCTCAGTTCATTTCTTGACACCAGGGGTGATTCTATAAGCCATTTTAGGGGCCTTAGCCCCCCAGTGTTGACAATGGCTCTTGGCTTGAACCACACAGTGTGTATTAGCATTAGAATTATTGTGAGGGGCATGAACGATCAATTCCCTGCAGAAATTCTGAGTAGAAGGCGCGTTCTGTTCCCGATTAGGAAGAAAAATATAAACGAGGGCAGAAGAGCTGCGGTGGCTGTGGACAAACTCTACATCAATGGTCAGCTGTTTAGAGATCCAGAGGTTACTCCCTGGCTCTATTAATAATATAAATAAGGTAAGCATGATCTTCAGTTGCTAATTTTACTTAAAATGTATTAGCAAGCATATATATTCATATTACTTACCAGATATTTATGTAATTTTTCAGCACAGCTCGGTTGGTGGGTTACACAGATGGTGGTGGTACACGGTGGCATGACACTTAATGTGGTAAGGGGGTTCTTTTTTTATTTTCTCTTCTTTTATCTTTACGTGTTTATTATCATCTCACTTTCTTTTTTTTGTCTTTATTTTTCTGACTCAACAATTATTAGCACACAGGCACAAAGGCTTATATATATCCATATACATACATACAAATACATCATAAAGGAATACATGCATGATTTACCTTCAAAAAAACAGCACTTAGTTTATCTATAAATCATAAATAATCAATCATTAAGGATTATGTTATTGTCTGGGTGTTTTACTATTTTTGATATTTGTGATAATGGGTGTGGTTTAATTATATTTTCACAAGCACAAATATGGGTATCTTAAGGTTTGTCACATGGAATATTAATGGAGCCGGTAGCCAACATAAAAAAAATAGAATCTTCAGCCAGATTAAAAGATTAAAGGCAGATGTTGTATTACTCCAAGAGATTCATAAATTACCGTCAACTGTGGATGAGCTAAAATCTCCTGAGTTTCCTCATGTATTATCAGCCTGCTATAACTCAAGACAGAGAGGAGTAGCAATATTAATACATAAAAATGTGAACTTCACAATATTAGACACAGTTATAGACCCGCAAGGTAGATATATAATATTAAAATTATCCATACTCAGTCAAAAATATTGTATTGTTAGCTTATATGGGCCAAATGTGGACGATGCTGCTTTTTTTCATGATCTCTTTTCTACTCTGTCAAATCACATGGATTGCTTGCTGGTACTGGGAGGTGATCTTAACTTTGGTCTAGATAACAAAATAGACAGGCTGAATACAGTAGGAGCTCAACGCAGTTGGCAATCCATAAATGTAGTTAAACAGTACATGAGTGATTATGGACTCTGCGATGCATGGCGGTCTCATCACCCTAATAGTAAAGAGTATTCTTTCTTTTCACATGTGCATCACTCTTACTCTCGTCTGGATTATTTTATAATCAGCAACTCATTGCTGACCAACATTTCAGACACTAAGATACACCCTATTGCTGTCAGCGATCATGCACCAGTTACTTTAAATTTAGATAATAAGAAAGAAATCCCAAAAAGTATAAACTGGAGATTAAATACCTCACTGCTTATGGACGAAGAATTTATACAATACTTTAAAAATGAATGGACATCGTATTTAGAGTTTAATGACTTGCCAGGTACATCAGCGTGTACACTCTGGGAGGCTGGGAAAACAGTTATGAGAGGGAAAATAATATCCTACGCAACAAACAAAAAGAAAAAAGAAAATAAACGTATTGAGGAATTAGAGAAATCTATCAAATTATTAGAAAGTTTACAAGGAGAGGAAACACAGA